TCCTTGCTCTCTTCACTCTACCATGCTCCCCCCCCACCCACAGCTTTCGCTCAGTACCCAGCCCTCCTTCCTGGGACAGCCATCATTGCCAGAGAGGCCTGGAAGAGAAGACAGGATGTGTCTTGACCAGCCCAGTTAGAGCTGAGTGTACTTTTACACATGAACCATGTTTTATATGGCGGTAAAGATATAGAACATTAATTTTAGTATTACTTCTTGTCTTAGTCATCTAGTACTGCTCTAACAGAAATACCACAAGTGGATGGTTTTAACAAAGAGAAGTTTATTTCCTCACAGTAAAGTAGGCTAGAAGTCCAAATTCAGGGCGTCAGCTCCAGGGGAAGGCTTTCTTTCTCTGTCGGCCTTCTCGTCAATATTCCCCCGGACTAGGAGCTTCTCCGCGCAGGGACCCCAGGTCCAAATGACACGCTCTGCTCCTGGCACTGCTCTCTTGGTGGTATGAGGTCCCCAATTCTCTGCTTGCTTTCCTTTCCTTTTATCTCTTGTAAGGTAAAAGGTGGTGCAGGCCACATCCTAGGGAAACTCCCTTTACAATGGATCAGGAATATGACCTGGGTAAGGGTGGTGTTACAATCCCCTAATCTTCTTTAACATAAAATTGCAATCACAAAATGGAGGCCAACCACACAATTCTGGGAATCACGGCCCAGCCAAACGGATACACACATTTTGGGGGACATAATTCAACCCGTGACACTTGTCAGACCACATATAATTCAGATACCAAACAAATAAAAAAAGCCAAACTCACTGCTGTTGAGTTGATTCCAACTCATAGTGATCCCATAGGACACAGCAGAACCGCCCCATAGGGTTTCCAAGGAGCAGCTAGTGGATTCGAACTGCCTACCTTTTGATTAGCAGCCTGAGCACTTAACCACTGTGCCACCAAGTAGTCTCCACCATTGTTTCACTTAGAGAAGAACTTTAAAGTCACCCGCCTGGGCTTGAATTCTGGCTCCACCACACACTAACTGTGTGACCTTAGGCAGGTCACCCTAATCTGTGCCTCAGTCTCCTCATTTGTAAACTGGGGATAATAATTAAATCTGCTTCACAGGATTGTGATGAGGATTAAATGAGCTAATTCACAGAGATCACTGCACATCATGCTTAGCACATGATAAGTGCTCAATTCATGTGGAGTATTCTTTTTAGTTTATGGGAGTCATGTCTAAAGAATTCCCCAAAACATAGCGATGCAAAGCCAGGGGCCACAAGAGAAGTGAGAATTCATGTTTCCAGGCTCATCTCCTTGTCACATACATTATGCTTCATTCACATGGAGTTAATTGCTATTCTTTCATTTATTCAAATACTTGTGGTTGCTGTTAGCTGCCGTGGAGTCAGCCCCTGACTCATGGTGATCCCATGCACAACAGAACAAAATGCTGCCGGGTCCTGCATCATCCCTGTGATCAGTTATGTATCGGATCATTGTGATCCATAGGGTTTTCCCTGGCTGATTTTCACAAGTAGATTGCCAGGCCTTTCTTCCTGGTCCGTCTTAGTCTAGAAGCTCTACTGAAACCTGTTCAGCATCATCGCAACACGAAAGCCTCCACTCACAGGTGTGGTGGCCGACCATGAGATGCATTGGCTGGGAATCGAACCTGGGTCTCCCACATGGAAGGTGAGAATTCTACCACAGAACCACCACTGCCTCCATTCAAATACTCACACCTATTACATGCCAAGTACTATTTTAGGTGCTGGGACTACAACTTGAATAAAATTGACACAAGCCCCTGTCCACGAAGCTAACATTCTACACAACATGTGCTTTTCCTGCCTCTGGGACTGTACCCGAGCTGCCAAAACATCACCTATCCTGTTTGTCTGGGGAACTCCTACTTATGAAATAGCACATCCTTTGCGAAGACTTCTCTAACATCTGTCATGCAGGGCAAGAGATCTTTTTTTCCTATAAAATACCATGTCTATTGTTATCACAAACTACAATGGGTTGTCACCCAAGATTTCAGCACTGGCCACCTACGTTAGCCTGTGAACCTATTGATGAGAACAGGCTCCATGTTATTTATCTTTTAACCTTGGCAACGCTGGGCCCATAGCAGGCACTCGTGTGTTCTTGACTGACACTGTCGATTATAATTTATATGCTTATATGTTTATATCCTTCTTAGTGCTTTTCAGGGTCAAGGGGTCATGTCTAACTCATGTCTATAGCTCCTGCATCCAGCAACATAAGTGTTCAACAAATACTTATTAAATGAAAGAAAAAATTAACAAATGCTTCAACCTTTTTCTATAATATGGAAAAACTTCATGAAATCAGAGTGACTGGGGAAGTTCAGAGGAGCCCTGGTGGCGCAGTGGTTAAGCGCTTGGCTGCTAACCAAAAGGTCAGTGGTTCGAATCCACTAGCCCGCTCTGTGGGAGAAAGATGTAGCAGTCTGCTTCTGTAAAGGTTACAGCCTTGGAAACCCTATGGGGCAGTTCTACTCTTTCCTATAGGGTCGCTATAAGTCGGAATCATAGCGGAATCACTCGACAGCAGTGGGTTTGGTGGGGTTTGGGGTGAAGATCAGTCTGAAGTAGTGAAAAGACAGGAATATTTTTCCAGAAGTTTAGCTTTCCCTCTCAAGTACATGCAGTTAACTTGAACCACCTGATAACCTGATTCTAAATCCGGTTGTCATTAATGAAAAAATAGGATTTATCTATAATTAGCAGGGGCAGTTCCATATAAATGCTTGATTTCCGAAGGTTGGTGTTTCCAGTTTTAATCAGGCTGCACAAGCAGACACAGTCCTGGCTCCCCAGGTGCGTGTTGTGACGACCTGGCAGATTTTTGCCCCCCCCCCCCCAGCTGCTTCTCTGGCATCTGTGCTCTGGTGCCAAGTCTACACTGGACCCATTTATTTGTGTTTGTTAAACAGATGAGCCGACAGGGTTGAAAGCCAATGGGTTAAAGATTTCTCCGCCATAAATTTTTTTTTCAAGGTCAAGTCAAAAAGCATTTAAGTCCCTAAATGAAAGGAAGTTTCCTGAGCTTATAAAGATGAAGTGAGTGGAGATGTAGGGGCTCTTTTCATGACTTACTATGAGCCTATTTCAGACAGGCCAGGGAAGGAAGCAAAGGGAGACAGAGGCAGCGAGCCAGTCAGTCATTAATATTTAAAACCAAATGCCCTCTATCCATTCCTATTCTTGGTTATCCCGTGTGTCAGAGTAGAGCTGTGCTTCACAGGGTTTTCAACAGCTGATTTTCCGAAAGCAGACTGCCAGGCCTTTCTTCTGAGATACCTCTGAGTGGACTTGAACTGCCAGCATTTTGGACAGTAGCTGAGTGCTTAACGGTTTGTGCCACCCATGGACTCCCACTAATATTTACTAAGGGCCTATGGGCCTGAGGCATTGGTGGTTCAGTGGTAGAATTCTCACCTTCTGTGAAGGAGACCCTGCTTTGATTCCAGGCCAATGAACCTCATGCACAGCCACCACTTGTCCATCAGTGGAGCCTTGCTTGTTGATATGATGCTGAACAGGTTTCAGTGGAGCTTCCAGACTAAGATGGACTAGGAAGAAAGGCTTGGTGATCTACTTCTGAAAATCACCCAATGAAAACCCTATGGGATCACAATGGTCTAATCCACAACCTATTATGAGGATGGCACAGGACCAAGCAGCATTTCCTTCCATTGTGCATGGAGTCCCTATGAGTCAGGAGCCACCTTGACAGCGGCTAACAACAGAATGCGTATGGCGCTGTTTAGAGAACCAGGGATAAAGCAATGTACAAAACAGCCATCACTCTGCCATCTTGGAACTTACACACTAGCGGAGGTAGGAGACAAATAATCCCCAACACAGATATGTGAATAGGTTAAGTTCAGGTCCTGATAAGTACAGTGAAGAAGAAATAGTAAGATAAAGGGAAGAGATTAGTGGGGGTGGCAGTGGCAGTGGGGGAGACACATTAGCCAGGGAAGTAAGGGAAGGATTTAGTGAGAAGGTGAGTATGAGCTGAGACTGAATGCTAAGAAGGAGGCAGCTCAGAGAAGATCTGGAGGAACTATATACCAAGCAGAAGAAACATCGAGTGCAAAGTCCCTGAGATAGCGAATGAGCTTAGCGTGTCTGAGGGACAGAAAGAAGGCCCATGTGGCTGGAAAGCTTTAAATGCAGAGCAAAGTGAAGGAAAGATGAAGATGGAGACAAAGGCAGGAGCTAGGCCATGGCTGGCCTTGTAGGCCATAGTAGAGAGTCTGGAATTTATTCTAGCTGAAATAGAAGGCCAGTGGTTGATTTTAAATGGAAGAGTGGCACTTCAGATCATTCTGGCTACTGTGAGTAGGAGGGACTGAAGAGGAAGAGAGAAGGGACAGGGAGACCAGGCAAAATGCTGTTGCATTGTCCAAGTGTTATGGATTGATTTGTGTCCCCTTCCCAAAATAAGTGTTGGAATCCTAACCTCTTACCTGTGGATGTAATCTAATCTAATGTAATATAATCATTTTCCATAATGCAATCTAGTATAATGCAATTCATTAGTTGAGGGCATACCTGTGTTAGGGTGGATCCAAAACTTAACCACTTCTGAGTCATATAAGGAGCAGATTAGACACAGAGACATGCACACGCATATTAGGGAAGACAGATACCATGTGGGGATGGCCAAGAACCAAGGAAAGTCCAAGGCTATTGCCAAGGAAGGAATCGACCTAGCTGAGACCTTTATTTGAACTTTTTGCCTCCGGAACTGTGAGAAAATAAAGTTCTGTTCTTTAAAGTCACCCACTTGTGATATTTCTGTTACAACAGCACGAGGTAACTAAGACACCAGGTGAGGATGATGGTGGCTTGGATTAGGGCTTCCGTGGTGGAGCTGACAAAATATGATTGCATCTGCAATGTATTTCCAAGGTAAAGCGGACAGGGTCTTACTGATGCATTGAGCACGTAGGGTAAGAAGAATATGCCAGAGCAGATTCCTTGATCCCTACTGCACTTACCAAAGACTTTGAGGTGGATGGACGCATCCTGCTCTCCGGCCTTGTTCTCAGCAATGCAGACATACTCGGCCTCATCGTTCTTATCCACTTTCCTGATGGTCAGCTCAGAACTGTCATCGCTGAAGATGTACTTCTCGTCTTCCTCATCCTCTATCTGTTCCCCATCCCTGTAGGGTGCAGAAATGCAAAGTGCCATGATCTTGATCATGGAGATAAGACGTTTATTTTCAACTAATTTCTATAATATGCAGGCTGAGCCAATGGGAAGTACTTGGTCTTCACAAAAATGCTAAGATGCCAAATTGTACTTCTACGGATCTTTATTCCCTCATCCAAACCTCTGTCCAAGAACTGTAACCTGCACCCCCAAAGGCTTCAGAGAGAGCCCCTCAAGGTCATGTCCTCTGGTTCTGCCCCTCCAAGACTGAAAATTAGGGAATTCAAAGCACAAGGCAAGAGAACCTTACAGAAAAGAATCCAGTCTTCACCTGGAGTTGATATTCCCAAGAAGCACACCCATTGCAGTGAAATGCCAATACAGGGCCAAAAGTGGGCCCCATATGTTCCCTTCTCCTTGAGTCCACAGTAAAAGGCTTGAGCCTGTGTCTTACTTTGTCCAGCTCATAGCGGGCTCTGGGAAGCCTTCGGCATCGCACACCAGGGTAACAGACTGGCCAAGGTTAGCGGTGGCATTTACTATGTTCTGCCTGGCCTGGACGGTGGGTGGCACTGGAGGGAAAGAAAACATTGTCAGAGGTAGTTATGAAAAACATGGAGGGACCCAATGGAATGGAGAAGAAACACTTTCAGGGAGCTCCAGATCAAGGGGCCCCAGCCTGTGGGTCAAAAGTGTGTGTCGGGGGGGCTGCAGAGTTAGCGTAAGGGGTCTAAATACTTCAAACTAAATAAATAGTTCACCCCAAAATATGCATTATTGTTTTTCAAGAGTTTAGATGCCACAATAATGCATTCCATTAATTTCTAAATGGCATTTGATTTACAGTAGCTATTTATCATTATATATTTTCTCCGTCAATGCATACTAAACTTACAACTACCATGGTTGGTGGAACTTGATGCTAAAAAGGGCCTCTCAATACTGGAAAAGGTTGGAAACCACTGCTCCTGGTGATTAAATGGTTAATATTAATTTGCAATGCACTAGCTCCCCAGAGAGTGACTTTTCTCTGGGATTGTTGAAAACAACAGTGTACGAACTGTTTTTACCAAAGTAATGAGAGGAGGAAGAGTGTGGCAGAAAAATATATCAATAGCCAAAACAATTCAACCATGATTTACTTATTTTCTTAGTACTGACATTATAATTTCCTGTAAACATCTTGTAAATGTCATATTGATTCCACGGGTGTGTTTAGTTGCCACCACAAATTAAGATTAACAAGCCCATGGACCATGATTCTACTATTCTGAGGCCTGAACTGATTGGAACACTTTCTTTGAACACCGAACCACGGGACGAACTTCACAATTACTGTAACACCAAGGACAATGAGGCTGAGTAAGGATGTGTTAGCAAGTCTGGGGAAAGTTTCTTGAGCTATAAGACAACGAAGGACATTCAATAACTACACTAAAAGCCCCCATAATTGAGGGGAGACCAAAAAAGCAAGTGTATTTAGTAAAAAACGAGCCAGAGGCTACCAGGGATTCAGCTGAGATGGATGAACGACGCAGGACAGGATTTATTGTATAGACCAAAGAGGAAGTTGACGGGAGTGATTTTGGGGAACCGAGGTGGTAGCAATGGGGACAGTAGGAAGAACGGATCTCCTCACCATTCACAATGACCTGAATGTCCTTGAAGTTGATCTCCCCCCGCGCCAGGATTCTGCCCTCACAGCGGTAAGTGCCCTCATCTGTTTTCTTGATGCCCCGGATCTGCAGGTAGTTGTTGGACAGGACTATGAATCGGACTAGAAGAGACAAGAGGCAGGTTCATCCACGGGTCAGTCAGAGAACTCTGGTATCTGTAGGCAGGTAGCTGACCCCTTCCTTCCTCCTAGCTTCAGTCTTATTAGTGGGGCTTTAAGCTGTAATACGAAAATGTGTCCCTAGCTCTGGAATATAGCCAAGAGCAAAGATCTCTTCGAAACTTATCTTCTGCTTTGGAGAGAAAACCAACTGTCTGAATATATTCAGACATACATCCTTTCCAGTCCTGGAAACTGCATGCAGTTTCTAGGACGCTTGGATCTGACTTTGGACTGAGATACCTCAGAGGCTGGCAGAGGTGGAAAACATACGGGACCTGGTGGCCCTGGGGAAAAGGCAGCTGCCAGGAAATTCAGGTCTCACCATCTTTTTTCAGGATGACATCTCGGCCTTTGTGCTTCCAGATGATAGTTGGGGGGAGGGAGCTGACCACGTCACACACGATCACGGCATCTTCCCCCTCCCTGAACTCCTGTGGGGTCGGTGCATTCTTGAACATGAGCTTCTCTGGAAAATGAGCAAGAGAAGGGTGAGGGGAAGCAGCTGTGTCTCCCACAAGAGATCCCTTTTCACTAGAGCCATGCTGGCTGGATTTGAATCCCAGGCAAGTCTCAATCCATATACGTAGTTTTACAAGACGGGGTTGTACCTAGCACTGGGCCAAAGATACCCAGGCACAGAAGCTGGTACATGTAATGCCAGCGTGTGTCTTCATTGTTTAGCAGTCAATATCTACTCATTGAGTGCCAAATTTATCATACTTTGTGCATAGAAGTGCCTATGGGGAGAAAGGGCTGTCTTTACCAAGGACCCCTTGCCATGTGGGATGGTGCCAAAGAAAGACAATGTATAGGTAGAATGAATGGGTAGAATACTTATTCTATAACGAATAGTAGAATCAATCAGTCCTTTCTCTGTCTTTCATTCTGTCCTCCACCCCACCTTACCCACCCCACCCCAACTTTCCTACAGCAGAGAGAATTTTGAGGAAGAGAACTGAAGAAAAGCAAGCTTAATGGCAATAAATATTATGGCAATCAATCCTGTTCCATTAGCTGTCACCCTTACATCCTTATTTACTTACTTACTTACTTACTGTTCCATTAGTTGTCATTACACTGTCCAACAGGACAGATGCATGATAATTTGTAATAAGATGCCACCTCCAGACAGGGTTTCAGTGGCAATGGGAGTTGTCTGCTCTGAGTGGCACAGGGTGTTCAGATATAATCCCCCACCGCACTGAGCTCTTGGGCTCCATTACCAGGAGGGGAGTGTGAAATAAGAGAAAACCTGGATTGTATAATAGTTAGTCAATACCTGGAGAAGGGATGGGGGACCCCTAACTGCCCTCTGAGAACTGTGTAATTTGAATTTAGAGGAAGGCAGTCAGTAGGGGGTGGCTGTGACTTGTATGAACCAGGATTGTGAGTTCTGAGTTGGTCAAGGATCATTTAAGAATGTACCGGAGCTCTTAACTCAGTTAAGAAAAGACTTAGGGAGAGGAAACGGGATCTGCCAAGCCCTCAGCCTGTCCCTGCATTGCCATCCCACCCTTTTTACTACCCATGTATCTCCATGGCCAAAGGAGGGTACAGGGATTATTATAGTGGGAGAAGATAGGGCTCTTACGGAAGATCTTCACGTTGACCGTGGCCTCCGACTCACTGCCATCCTCACCAGTGACCACACACTTGTAAATGCCGGCGTCATCGATGTTGGCGTTGTAGATGGTGAGGGTGGAGGACGAATCATCGTTCCACACCACTGAGATCCGCTGCTGGTTTGGGGTGAGCTTTTCTCCGTTGGGGGAGAACCAGGAGATGTCTTTATCTTTGGCGTCCCCTGCCACTACAGAGGAAGAGATTATTCTCAAAACACTGAAGGTGAAAAGACAAAGACCCCTCTAGAGTGACAGTGGGTGCTCAGTATGAGCTACTGAACTATGGATCAGTCAGCCTTGACCGTTAGGGAGGGATGATCATTTACGTTAGAATGTACGTGGCTCTACTCTGGCTTCTGTGTTTCGTTAATATACTCATAAGACCTTCTATGGTGTTTGTAAAGAACTCAACAAACACTTGTGCTAGTATTTCACATAGTGGTACAATCCTTGATCAGGGAAGAGAAGAGATGTTTGTTGACAACCTACTGTGTGCCAGCCACTAAACTAAGATCTTACAAGCCACGAAGTATGGGGGACGAAGGGAGTTAATATATACAGAATCCGAGCTCAAGGGCCTAGCTGGTCTGAGCCAGCTGGTCAGCTTGTTTGTGAGGGCTTAGATTATGGACTCCTGAGTTGAGGATGAGACACCAGCTCATCTAGGAGTGTGGGTTTCAACCATTTTATTCTAGCATCTGCCATTTCAGCACACCCTGCTTGAGACAGACAAATTTATTTCCTTAAATGCCACAGAGAAGGTGGCCAGAATCACCCAATGCCTCCTATCCCCAGGCACCTAAGACAGCCAGACTGCTGCTTAGCTCTCCCAGACCCTGAGCCCAAACAGGGTGCAGAGCTCTCGGCTCCTGCACGTGGCTCTGCCCTATGTTGCATGGCGCCCTTCCCCAGCCTACATGGCCTGGCCCTGCACAGATGCTTAGTATGGAAATGAAGCAGCCTTCCTTTCAGGGCCCATCATGTTTTCAATAAATAACGTTATTTGCAAGATGTGCTGTGGGCTCCACGGCTGCATCTCCAGATCATTTAAATTGCTGTAATGAAGGCAAAGCTGTAGCGAACACATCCGCCAGCCAACAGCCACCACATCCAACTCAAATCATGATTGCATTCAAAGGCCCCTCCCCGCAAAAGCTGCTTTCTAAAGGTCACAGTTTACACCTAGCTCAGCTCTTCCCTGGTTCTCCCATGTTCCCCAGCCCAGAAATGTCACATACAGAGAAGCCGCCACCTAACTGGAACCCTTTCCTCCACTGGACATGTCCTGATCATTATCTGAGCTGTGGAAACTGGTATTTTTTTTAAACAAAAAACAAGGGCACCTGGTCTGATAAATCCTAGCACTCTGGCGGGGACAATGGGTCAGAGCATTTGCATTACAGTTGTCTGGAAAACCTAGGACGTGTGTCCTCACAGCTAAAGAGAGACCAGTCCTCAATTCACTCTCAGGCATGTTTTAGACCTTCTTGGATTTTCCTGTTCTGGAAGATTCTAAGAAATAAGGCTTAAAGCAACCCACTGACGCATTATTTCTGAAGCAGCACTGTTCTCCAGAGCCACTGGCAGGACTTTGGATGTATACCGAGCAGAGAGGTCTGAGGAGGACTCACTGTTCTTTTGTTAGTTGTGCTGATTTTCCTAAGTCTTTAGATTCTCCTCCATTACCAAGCAAGAATCTAGACGACTCATTTCTCTGTCTTGGGAAGCCTTTGAGAGGGGAAGGAAGAGGGCCCAGGAGCTTCCCTGACTTGAATGGTTATGCTGTTGACCCTATAAGAGAGCAATGCCAAGAATTGTAGGTGTGGTGCTATCAGCCCCACACGGGCATGGCCCATTGGCTTCTGCTCTGCTCCATGAGTGTCTGAGGCAAATTCTGAAATACAGAGGGGCACGGGGCACTTGCCTTGGCATAGGAAGAATTTGGACTCTCCAACGCTGATCTCCCCTTGGCTGGGAACAATATCCACCTGCAGAGACACTGAAAAAGAGAAAGTCCAGTTTAAACACACCTTGGAACTTTTGAGAAAGGAAACCGGAGTTCTCAGTCAAAAATGGGGTCTTCCAGCTCACTTTAAGAAAGAGTAAGGGGAGGAACTTGTTTGGGTTTTGAAAACTTGTCACCACCAAAGTATCCATAGCTCCTCACGCCGCAGCCAGGAGTGGACATGGCCCAGACCATTGCCAGATGAAACTGCCATCCCTATCAGATCTGGGGTGACCTCTACCCTCAATGGAGTACCGGGGTGGGACAAACGGTTAATGAGCTTGGCTGCTAACTGAAAGGTTGGAGGTTCAAGTCCACCCAGAGGCCCCCGGGAAGAAAAGCCTGGCGATCTACTTCTGAAAAATCAGCTATTGAAAACTCTGTGGAGCAAGTTCTACTCTGACACGCACGGTGTTGCCATGAATTGGGATCAACTCCACGGCAACTAGTTTTCTTCTCTAAATGTTTCTGACCCCTTGAGAAGGCTATGGTCCTGCTCAAAACTTCTTGGATTCACCAGAACAGCAGCCCAACCAACCAAACCAAACCAAACCTGTTGCTATTGAGTCAATTCCAACTCGTGGTGACCCCATGTGTCCAATCAGGTCCTTTTAAATATCAACTGGTTGTGTCCCCATAGGCAGCAAGTGTGTCGAGACCAAAGGTAGTGAGCAGGAAGCCCACCACCTCGGAACTATGCACAAAAGTCTCTTGCCAACTCTCCCAGCCCTCGTGTTTAATAACCACGGAGAAGGATAATATGAAGATTCAAACAGATTTTGAAGCAGAGGATTGTCAAACAAACGTTCAGTCTACCTTATGAAAAAAAGACCAGCTCGCCTCTTTCCATAACAGAAGCCAGCATCACACATCATGAACCCAATTAGTCAAATACTCTTCTGAAACTCTGTAGGCTACTCCCTGCAGGATTCCCTGTATTCTTCGGTTACTCTCATGGAATTTTTATTTAAATATCCATATGCTGTGTCATCCTGCTCCACTGATAAGATGAAATACACTGCACCAGATCTCACAGATCCCTGTATTCATTCTGTTACCCGTTGATCTGCTCGGAGCAGATAACCATTCCTCATGAGAACATGGTTTTAGGAGTTAAAAATGCTTCATTCATTTGAATTCAACTTCCTTCTGCCTCTCCTCCTCTTAAGTAAACTCAATCTGAAAGCTAAAGGCTAACAGGCGTTTGGTTCAATGCATGCATGCAGCTTCTTAAAACCAATATGCAGGAGGGGCCTGAACAAAACAGGCCGGTAGGAGAGTCAGCGAGGGCTTCCGTGGAACAGCCATTTTCTTTTCGCAGTAGAATGGAGGCAGCTTTCGTTGCCATGGTGACCGACTTGCAGGCATTGCTGCTACAGGTCTTCCTCATTTGCTCATTCCAGGAAGAGACTACAGTTGTGTCTCTGAGGAATATAGGGATCAAAGCATCGGCCTGGGCCCTGCTTGGGCAGGGGAGGGTGAGGGTTGGGGGGCAACTCAGCTACTGGGGGCACAACCTTCCTAGACATTCTACAAACAACACAGTTCATGGGAAAACCCTGCAAAGGCTGCAGAAAGAAAGGGATGACTTGGGGGAGAGAGGAACTGAAAAGGGAAGGAGCCAGGGTAAGGTTAGGCAATTAGGCATGGGGCAGAGGCAAGGAGAGCATGCTGTACACTCCACTGTGAACAAGAGGTGGAAACTCAAGGCTTCAAAACTCTGGTTGAGAGGATACGTTACAGTAATTAGGGGCAGCCAGTCTCTCCCTCAGGGCCCTGGTGGTGCAGTGGCTAAGCCTCCAGCTGCTAACCAAAAGGGCGGCAGTTTGAATCCACCAGCCACTCCTGGAAACCCTATGCGGCAGTTCTACTCTGTCCTATAGGGTTGCTATGAGTTGGAATCAACTTGACAGCAGTGGGTTTGGTTTTTTTTTGGAGTCTCTCCCTCACTTGATCTGTTGCTGATTATTCATCTGCGGCTCAATTCTTACCTAAGGACAATAAAAGTGTGACTAACAAGTGTTACTAGCTGTGACTGCTTTCTCTTCTTCTTTTCCAGATAGAGCTCCGGTTCCAGGTTCCACTGCATTCTAAAACAGGAGAGCCAGAAGGAGTTGGGATTCGACTCTACGGCAACTGGTTTTCTCCCTTCAATGTCTCTGACCCCTTGAGAAGGCTTATGGTCCTGCTCTAAACAGCAGAACTTTGAGGATTTCTAGGAACAACAGCCCAATGTGACCTGACTCCTCATTTTCCGGATGAGGGAACAGAGTAAAGTGGTTTCCCTAAGGCTGCTTTTAGTGACTGTCAAGGTGGCCCCAGAGCCCACGCCTCCTGGCTCCCAAGTAGGTGTTCTTTCCATTATGCAATGTTACCTCTGAGAGGGGAGGGTAAACGTTTCCATTCAGTTTAACAAACAACCTGGTACCACGAGTAACAACCATCAGTAACAGAAGAGAACTAGCCCAGGGTTCTAAGGTGCCATAGTATTTTGAAGAGCACAGGGTCTGTGTACTGGATGGCTTTATAGGGAGATATACACCAGGGACATCCACCTCAAGGCCAAACCAGGACCTTTTCTATGGCTTCCTAGGGCTCACCTTCCTTGGGAATAACGGGCAGGCCTATAAGCCCAGGAGCTATGTCTATGCCATCTGTCACCTAAGTAATGGTCTTTCTGGAGTTTACTAGAGCATTCTTTAGCGAAGGAGAAGCATATTTCTGTCGGAAAGGTTCTCTAGCCCATATGTTGAGCATTAGCAGTGAGCTTCAACATATGGATCCTGTTACTCTCAGAGAGGCCTCACTGCTTGGGGAAGGATATTCTGATCCCAATTGAAAAAACAGTCTTCATTTTTTCAGCTCTTTTCAAACAGAACTCGACTCTCAGGGGGCAGGAGAACAAGGCAAGGCTGAGGGGTTTTCCTACCAAAATGCGGCCAGAATCTACCTCTGGGCCACAGAGAGAAATGAGAAACGAGAATTTCAAAGGAATTCTAAGCTTGGCCAGATCCCATGCACATATTTATCATTACAGATGTGTTTAAAAGAAGAGATATCCATTTAGACTCCTGACCTTTTGCACTACGGAAAAGATAGCAATCCTTCCTCAAAATACTGGAGACAAAGCTGGGCCAGAGGAACCCCAGCCTCTCTGCAAGTCAGGACTTGGAGATTTTCCATGGCAGCACACAGACAATGGCTGGTTATTCTTCCCCAAATGACAAACCTTGAAATATGTGGTTTAATAATGATAAATGGGAATTCTGCACCAAACCCAAGACTCCTTTCCTTCACTTCTTGCTGACCTTTTCTTTCTTACTCTATTCGTCCCTTCATTATTTCCAATAAAAATGCCTATCTCAACTTTCACCTTTCTCTAGTTGCATATGTAAGTGAAATTTCCTACCCAGGTATAACTCATACCTTTAAAGAAACATATGAAGACGGTCCTCCTAGAAAAAGTATCCCATCTCCTGCTTTGCATAAATACCTTTGCATAAACACCACCAATTATCCCTACTTCATCAGAGCTGAATCCAAAGATACATGCTTTAGAAGCGTACACGCTAGGACCGGAACAGGACCAGGGGTAGAGTTGAGAGCTGCCTTCATTTAGTGCTTTTTCCATGTTGCCTTCAATAACTACTCAGCCCCCAAAGCATCTTGCAGTGAGCGATGGTTCACACTTTCTGATTTACAAAATACACTGGACTATTTCTTTTGATCCTCACAACAGTTCTGAGAGATAAAAGGATGATATTATTGTCTCCACTTTACAAAACAGGAACTTGAGACTCAGAGAAATTAACTTATCCAGGGTCACTCAGTTAATGAGTAGCAATGTCAAGATTAAAAAGCACTCAATTCTAAGGCAAAGCAACCCTGGCGGCGCAATGGCTAAGTGCTTGGCTGCTAACTGAAAGGTTGGCAGTTTGAATCCACCAGCCACTCAGTGGGAGAAAAGACCTGGCAATCTGCTCCCATAAAGATTTCAGCCTAGGAAACCCTATGGGGCACTTCTACTCTGTCCTATAGGGTCACGATGAGCCAGAATCAACTTCACGGGACAAAGCAACAACAACAACAATTTTAAGGTTGAGGCAACGATGGTTCAGTGGTAGCATTCTTGCCTTTCATGTGGGGGAAACCTGTGTTCAATTTGTGGCTAATGCAGCTCATGTGCAACCACCACCCATCTGTCAGTGGAGGCTTGCATGTTGCTATGATGCTGAACAGGTTTTAGTAGAGCTTCCAGCATAAGATGGACAAGAAGGAAAGGCCTGGTGATCTACTTTCAAAAATCAACCAGTAAAAACCCTATGGACCACAATGTTTGATCTGCAGCTGATCATGGGGATGGTGCAGGATTGGGCAGTGTGTTGTTCCATTGTGCGTGGGGCTGGCCAACTCAACGGCAGTTAACAACAACAATTCTAAGGCTCCAGTTCTTTCCCTTATACTCTACAACTTGCTCAGTGCTAACCATCTTTTGTTAACCTCTGAACTGGCATATTATAAAACCTATTAATACGGGTACTTAGTTACCATTTGCTCTTTGCAATCACGAATTAGAAAGAGCAGAGTCTTTGTACAAAAATCTTATAATCAAGCAGCTGCCATCACCTCTGTCCTGGTTAACTATAACTGGCCTCTTTGCTCATAGATAATCATAGTATTATAATCTGTTTTACAGAAGGAAGCGGAGGCTCAGAGACGTAAGTAATGGTTTTGGTGGAGTCAAGATTCAAACCCAGGAAGGATGGAGTCAAAGTCTCAGCCATTTTCTCACTCTATTCTATCCCTTGTGAACAGACAGAAAAAAAGGTTCTCTTGAGAA